TTTCAAACTAAAGGTCACAACTGTTTCAGTGAGTCATGAAATCAATTTAGTTAGTCTAACCAACACCTAAAAAGAGAACGAAACAGAGTAGAATGGAATAAATGGAAACTGTGCATGTCTCACATGGTAAGACTAGACAGAAACTTTTGTCCTGTTTCATATATGCATATGTTATGTGTACATGTACTGGTCCATGAGGTAAACTGTATTTCTTACTGTGGATCATGCCCAAAAGCTTGAAAGCCACTGGCCCAGCTGACTTGGTCATATGATAATACAAGAACTTACTGCTTCCTTATAAGTTTTAGGGATCCCTTGAAAAGTTCCTACACACTTATACTTGGAACAGTGTGGAAAGACAAGGGATTTTTTCCAAGTAACTGTGTAACGTGTTCCATAGAGACAGATCTCTGTCTCAAAAGTATTCTGAATACAGTTTCCTGTCAGTGCCTCCCCAAACTAATAAATGTACTAAGTATAATTAAAAGAGTATACACTGGCCGGCCGAGTGGCACGTTGGCTAGGAGTTGGCTTGGGACGCCAGCTCTGAGCAGCAGGGCCCCAGTTCGGATCCCACATATGAGGGCCAGTGGCGCTGCGCCCTCTACAGCTAAGATGGTGAACAACAGCTCCACCTGCAGCTGGGTGCTGTGAGTCGCCGGCAATGGCGTAGGCTGCAGTGGGGCTGGCTGGCAGTGGGAGTGAGCTTTCATGAGCTGCCGTGAGCCGCTGTGAGTGGCCGTCCAATGGCCGGTGACTGACTGCCTCACCCGAGAAGAGTACAATGATAATACCAACATGGGCCAGTGAAGTGACATCCTCCACAACTAGACTGAAGAACAAAAGGACAACAGTTTGTCTGTTCCCCTCCCCCAATTCCCCCATAAAATATTAAAAAAAAAAAAAAAGACTATGCACAAAATATAAAATGGTTCAGTCACTGTGGAAAACAGTTTGGCGGTTCCTCAAAAAGTTAAAGATAAAATGACCATGTGACCCTGCAATTCCAGTCCTAGGTATATACCTCAAAAAATTGAAAACAAGAACTCAAACAAGTACATGTTCATGCTTGTTCATAAAAGCCCTCTTCACAAGAGCCAAAAGGTGGAAATAGCTCAAATGTCCATTAGTAGATGAATGGATAAACCAGTTGTGGTGTATACATACAATGAAACATTATTCATTAAAAGGAACGAAATACTGATACATGCTACCATGTGGATGAACCTCCAAGACATTATGCTGAGTGAAAGAAGCTAAACACTCAAGGTCCCATACTGTATGATCCCATCTATGTGAAATATCCAGAAGGGGTAAATCAATAGAGACAGAACCAGATTGGTGGTTGCCAGGGGATGGAGGACTGCAGGGCGAAGATAAACTGCTTAATGAGGGAGGGGTTGTATCTTGGAATGATGGAAATGTTTTGGAATTAGATAAAGGTGGTGGTTGCACAAAGCTGTGAATGTAATTAATGCCAGTGAATTGTTCACTTTAAAATGATTAATTTTGTTGTATAAAATTTATTTCACTAAATTATTTTTAAAAAATGCCTATAGGTAGGTATAAACACTAGGCATACAAATATCCAGAATCTAAAGAGCAAATATTTCTCAGGATATTAGAAACTGAAGAAAAAAGGGTACCTTTATTTTTACTCAATTTTTTTTTAAAAGAGGGTCATATATACAATAGTCCTTACTAACTAAACTAAAGACTAAAGGAAAAAATGAACGGTAGACAATTTTGATGAACATCTCTGAGAAAATTGACCTATACAAGTACTTTTCTGGAAACATCTTTTAAACATCAAAATTCAGCAAGAGAGGAACCACTACTAATCTTAAATATAAAGGAGAAAATAAGGAAGGAAGTGAGAACATCTGGGCAAAACTTCGGATTTCAAGGAAGGGGAATGTAAACCAGTAAGCCAATCCTCTGGTTTCCAGTTGACGCGAAGCAACTACTCTCCTCTTCCCTTGGAGGAAATTACTTTCATTGTTGTTACAATGCGTATCTGCCTCTGGAGAGAGTTCACTAGAGGTACCCTGGCATCTGGGGAGTATGCTATGAAGGAGGATGGCTGTGGAGACTAAATCAAGGTTTTTCAAACTTGGATCAACAGAGCCCTAAAGGTCATTAAGGTGGGTAGAGTGAGGGATGGGGAATGGGAGAGGAGAAGGGAGGTGGAGTTGCTGATGCCCTAGGCTGCTATGCCGGCTTTCTTCAGAGCAGGTTTTTTTTTACCTTTTAAATATTGGGATTCTATGCTAAGGCTTCACCTGGAAAAATAAAATTCTGCTGCTAAAGAAAAGTTTGAAAACCATTAGCCTGGATCGAAGATTCCTAAACCTGGCTGCTCAACAGAAAAAGAGCTTTTTCAAATTACAAATTCTTGGGCCATACCTCTAGACCTAGAGAAATAATAACTCCCCAAGGGATTCTTGTGCAGCAGCCCAAAGCAAATCCACAGTGTTTGGGAAGCACTGAACGAGATGCCTTGCTTCCTGGAGAGCCTATGACGAAAGAGAACTTAAGTGGGTAGGCAGAAAACTTGGGCAAAAGAGCTGCTGGTAGCAGATGGAAAAAAAGAACACAGACAGCTAAATCACTAGAGTCTAATGAAAAAAAAAATTGGTAAATGAGGAGCTTGCCTAGGACCAGAAGTTCCTCTAGAGGTTTAATTGCCTAGCAATGATCTCACAGCCTACTGTAACTGTCCATACTGGTGCTGGTAGTAAAAATGGCTTAATTCAGCAACTGTCCAAAAAAGTATAATGTGAGCCACAAGGTATCGTTTAAAATTTTCTAGTAGCCACGTTAAAAAAGGTAAAAAAATAGTGAAATTAACATCAATAGTATATTTTATTTAATCCAGTGTACCCCAAATAATATCATTTTAACACGCAATTTAATATAAAAATCATTAAATGATATATTTTACCTTTTTTTTTTTTTAACTAAGTCTTTAGAATGTTACAGCCTTTCTCAATCAGACTAGGTATCAAGTGCTCAATAACCACATGTGGCTGGTGGCTACCACAATGTATACAGTGCAGGACTAATTTACAAAAGGTCAAGCTACAATATTTCCTTTAAAAACTGATAATCTATTGTAATAAAAACATAAAAAGCCCACGCATCACTTCCCCAGCCCTAGAGACCCTGCTCCCAAGGTAGTGAGAAAACAGTTTTGTCTGCAGACCTCATACCCAACTTCACGTCTTCATTCCTGGCCCTGTTCTCTCTTCCCAGCAGGAGAGTTTGTGTTCTAGACATTTTCCCCAGAATGTTCTACTCCCAAAGCCTGTTAAAAATATCTAAAACTAAATTCACCATCTTCCTTCCAAAATAAAAAAATGAATTTACCGCTTGGTTTTCCTATTTCTATTAGTCATCTAGGATAAAAACTTCAGAGTCAAATGCTTCCTTTTTCTTTATTCTACAAAAGCACCAAGTTCTATTTATCCTTCCTTTGAAATCTTTCTCTCACTGGAACTTTCTGCTTCTTGTGCTATCTGCTGATCTGTCCAGTACACTGTTACCAAATACATATACTTAATATACTATATATAATGTCATTTCTCTTCAGTGGCTCTATAATGTCTTACACTTCAGCTTTCAATTCAGGACCATGCGCAATCTTGCTCCTATCCACACACCTGGCTTATATCATTCCAGCTTTATTGTTCACCAGTCTCCTGGAAGAAACTTTATTTTAGGCAAACTATCCTAATAGCTGTCTCCTGAATATGCCTTACAACTCCTCGTCTCTGCATTTTCTGACTTTCTAACCACCTAGAATGACCTTAGTCCAGCTTTACCTATCCAAGTCTTTACTCCACAGATATTTATGTCAGGCACTGTACCAGGTTCTGGAGACAGAATAAATAATCCTAATCTATTTGAAATCTTTCGTTACACGTCAATTATACCTCAATAGAGCTGAAATTAAAAAAGAAAAAAGAAATCTACCTGACTATGCCAAAACAGAAGTGGTTTTGCATTGCTGAGTTATTCTTACAAGGCATATAGCTTATATGCCTTATAAGAACACACTGGGCCCTTAAACTTTGCTGCCTTATATTGCTAATGATCAAATTTTCCCATAAATATTTATTCTTTCTTGCCAAATAGATGGTGGGTTTCCTGAAAGCATGGACTAGGGTCATACCAATGTGTTGTCCCTGGTTAACATTCAGTTAGTTGCAAGTACTAAATACACATTTGTTGATTGACAAGTACTTGTAAAAGAGGGAGGGCCTGCAGGAGGAGGATTCTACATGGAAAACAGACCCCCGAGTGATGCACTGGCAAATTAGGATCAGAGGAGCAGGGAAGGGCTGCAAGAACCCCGAAGCTGAGGAAAGCACTTGGCAAGTTTCACTTTTCCAATTCCATTTGCAAAGAAATTCAGAATTGGCAACTCTTAAGTTAGTATCAGTAGTCCTCAACAACATAAGTGATCAGCTTTAAAAATCCTTTCTTGGCATGAAATTAGCATAATACCACTGGTGAAGTTGAATATACATACATAATATCAGACCTAAGAAGATTAACTCATGGGGGCGGCTGGGTAGCTCAGTTGGTTAGAGCACGAGCTCTGAGCAATAGGGTTGCCGGTTTGAGTCCCACATGGGCCAGTGAGCTGTGCCCTCTGCAACTAGATTGGAGACAATAACTTGAGCTGAGCTGCCGCTGAGCTGCCAGTGGGCGGCCAGATGGCTCAGTTGGTTAGAGAGCATGCTCTTAACAACAAGGCTGCTGGTTCGACTCCCGGATAGGATGGTGAGCTGTGCCCCCCTGCAACCAGATTGAAAGCGGCGACTGGATTTGGAGCTGAGCTGTGCCCTCCACAACTAAGACTGAAGAATAGCAACTTGACTTGGAGCTGATGGGTCCTGGGAAAAACACACTGTTTTCCAATAAAGTAATAAATTAAAAAAAAAAAAAAGATGTAAGAGTTGTTTAAAAAAAGAAAAAAGAAGAAGATAACTCACCACATGTTGTGCTCAAAAACTTTGGCTGGGTCAGTTAAAATCCTTGATCCCAGAGGGGCCACTGGGGGATCACTACTTTGGCATCTTTGTGGCACCTTTCCTATCCTTAGACAGGAAATAGAATTTCTCCAAATCCCATTCATCCTAATGAGTGCCTGGAAAGTTACAAACAATTCATTAGTCAATATGGATTAAACTGTGTAGTTTATCTAACAGTCAAAAGCTGGTCCAAAAAGTGTACAACCTGAGAAAGGACAGGAAAACTATATATTTTTAAATGAAATATGGGCATGACGACTTCTCTCCTGAAGTATTTTCAGGCTAAGAGAAGGGAAAAGAATATTTAGAGTGTGTGACATTGGATGGCATTCTTTATAAGTCACAGCCTTGATCAATTTTGCTTTGTTTGGTATTTGCTTATTTAATTTTTAGCACATGGACAAAGCATGTAAGCCCAGAATCTGGACTTTGAGTATTTTATTATTTTGTTTTGGGAATTCTAGGCAAACATATTTCTAGGGAATATTTTGTGACCACAAGACCAAAAATCCAAGTCTAGTGGCAGAATAAGAAAACAAACCTAGTAAGTCTCATTCCCTGGGCTGAGCAGAATAATATGAAAACTAGTCAAATAAGTAAGTCAATACTGTATTAAGATATAATCCCAGCAATTCTTAACTTTAACAGTCCCGTACACATATATTTTTAAGAATAGTCAGAAATACATTTGCAAAATAGATTTTCCTGTACATAACACATCCTTTAATTCTAGCTCAAGAGGAGAATCATCAGTTTATTAGCTAAATCCACCCTCATTTCTGGAAGAATAACTGAAACATTTAAATAGTATGTCATCTTAATTATGTATTGGCAACTACATTGGTTTAAAGTGTTTATGGAAAAGTATCAAAAAGAAGCTCAAAAGAGCTTACTTCTCCCAATAAGAATCCACTGTTCCACTGCTCGGCATTTTACTCCCATTCAGCTGTTCATTACAACATTCAGCCTGATGCTGTAAGCTGTCAGGTAGAAACAGATGCTGTACAGTGTGTGTACATAACATGCATTAGAGACTATCTGAGGCGCTATTAGGCATAAAAATGACATGTATTGTGCATTCTTTTACCACCTTATTGAAAGTCAATGGGTTTTAAGAGTATGAATTCCAAAATGAACTGCAGAATGTCAAAAACATCTCATTGTGCTTTTAAACATAAAATTCAAGATTTTCCTTGTTGAAAAAAAAAAAAAGGCTTAGTTAGACACACCAAAAAGACTGTAATGGTTCTATTCAAATGTGACTAACAGTGATGAGAAATGAAAGATTCAATAGCTAGTGCTGAGCTCCTGTTTCTTGTTTGTTTTTCCTTCTTAATTAAACAAATGCAAGCAAGCTCTTTGGTGGAGGCAAATGAAATTAAACGCTCCGCCTACCACTACCTCTGCTCTGATGTGCCTTTGTTCTTTCCTCCTGCCAGTGTGCCAGGTAAGACTAACAAAACCCTACCTGCACAATTATTTTTAGAGCTCTCTTCCTGCACTGAATACTACTCATAAAATCTTCTGTATGCTGAAAAGTAGAAACTGATTACACCTAGAAAGACAGGCAATTCATGCTCAAAAGTGTGAAATGATGTAAACGTATTCCACTCAGGAAAGCCAAATCAGAATGAAATTTCAGTCCTTCAAATAATCATGTGATACTTACCTATAACTATCTTTATGTAGAAGAGGAAGAGAGAAAAAAAATACATGAGTTTCTCTCACTATAAATGACCAAGGACCTCTAGAGACAGCTGGAGACAAAAATCATAACCAGATAGGATATTAGGCAATTCAGAAAAATGGCAGAGAAGCATGTGCCTTGTAGGCTGCTAGCCTGCACAGAAGTGTAGTGTGGCCGGGGCCTAAACATGTGGCAATTTGTCCTGCTCAGGCAGCTGTTTTTCTAATTAACCACACAAGCATCTTTATCTACTTCACTTATTTATTATCTGTAAGTCACACACAGACTTGCATAGTTCTTAATCTTTTCTATTATATAAATACACAAATTTATATAACATAATATAAATACATTAAAAAATTACATAAATTCCTTCCCAACTTTTGCTAGCTTCTAAAGGTAGCACCAAGATGCTCGTGAATTGCTTGACTGATTCCACAAAAATGATACTTGTCTGACATAAGTTTAATTGGGAGGAAGTTACTTTTTATTTTCCAGGATGGCTCCTAAGATCCTTAGTTGGAAGAAGGAGGTGACAGGAGACTGTGACAGTATGTAGGCAGCTGTCCAGTTATACTGACTACAGTGATTAACACATATGTGCTTCATGTTACGACTATCCTGCTAGTTTAATGTTTACTAGGTCATGTCCATTTGGTGATGGGAAAAAAAGGGCAGGCAGGGTCAGCCCCAAACAGACTTCTGGCAGAGAAAGTTGGTTTCTGCTACCAGTGTCCCTTTCTCTTTGTATACACTCTCTTAACTCGCTTTTGGCATACCCTAACTAGAATACAAGTTTAACTAACATGTTATCTGCATAATGAAGCTGTATGGATAAGTAGTATTTTTATTTGAAATAACACAAAGAGGTATAGCTAAAAATAGTCCATTCACCCAAAAGAAGGCAGGAAAGGCAAAACGGGAAATAAAAACAGATGGGACAATTAGAAACCGAATACCAAGGTAGCATATTTAAACCTAACTATATCAATAATTACATTCAATAAATGGCTCCAATTAAAAGGCACAGATTATCAATTTGCATGAAAAAGCAAAACCCAACCATACACTATCTATAAGAAAGTCACTTTAAATACAAAGACACAAATAGATTAAAAATTTAAAAAGAGATACCACACAAACACTGCATAAAAAAACTGGTAGGGCTATATTAATAGACAAAGTAGATTTTTTAAAAAAGGGTATTACAGAGATAAAATGAGACATCTAATAATGACGAGCCAATTCATCAACACATAACAATCCTAAATGTGCATGTATCTAATAACAGAGCTTTAAAATACCTGAAGCAAAAATGGAAAGAACTTTTTAAAAAGAAGAAATTAACAAATTCACAGCAATATTTGGAGATTTTAATAGCCCCCTCTCAGCAATAAATAAAACAATACTCAGAAACAAACTATCAAAAAAATCAATAAGGCTATAAAAGATTTAAATGTTATGAACTTGATCTTAATGTCACCTATAGAAAGAACACTATACCTAATTATAGCAGAATATTCATTCTTTTCAAGTGAACATGGAATATTTGCCAAGATAGGCCATATATGCTAGGCTATAAAACAAGTCCCAATAAATTCCAAAGTATTAAAATCACACAGAGTAATCACTTCTCGGCCTTTGGGCTAAGATCAAGTGTAAAGTCACACAGAGTATGTATGCTTTCTGACCATAACAATATTAAGCATTAATATTTTTTATGAAATTGACTCAATAACTATCCTTCATTTCTCTGATAATCGTCATTTAGTTGTAGTAATAGACAAGGTAAAGTTTAAAAAGTGGTATTTCTTTTACTTACTTTGCTTATAGTTTTTCACTTTCAGCTCCCCATCCTATGATGGCTCTTCCTCTCAAGTCCTGTCGAGGTCAAACAGAATGAGCATGACTTTAGTCCCATGGCTCTCTGACAATCTCAACACCGTGATTCAGTCCTGAATAGTCAATTGGCTCAAGCAATCACTAAGGAACAGATCCAGAAAAGAACTGAAGCTCATTTAAGTGTCTGAATGCTAAAATTTCATTATAAATAGCATTTATGCTATCAAGTATACAGAGGTATGCCATAAAGCACTGATACACTTCCTGCCAGCTCTGGGTGTAGGTAAGTGTTTGCCTATTTGAGACTGCAAGGAAAACAACATGTATAAAATGACTTGAGTTCTGCATAAAGTATGACATGCTAAGGAGAAGATGGCTTTAATACTTGGCAGTTTTCTGGACCCACCACTAGCACCACCTTGTGCTGTAGCAAAAGAACAGGCCTTAGTATAGGACGACTTGTGGAGAAGAGATCCCTGCCCGATCTCCAAATTTGGGCTAGATGCTTTCCTTCTACTAAAATGGAGCCCTTTTCACCATGATTCACATATCTGCCTTACTACATCAACAAGCTATAACATATTCTACCAGAATAGGTAAAATGTATTTACAAGGGTATTTCATATTACAAACATGAAAGTATTGCTTAAATAATTGCAAATTTTATTTTTGTAGGGTAACAGTTCTCAGTACTTTTTAAATAAAAAGGATGATTTTAGTTAAAGAAAATACTCCATATTATATTTTGCAAATTGAAGAAAACCTTCCAGGAAGTAACGTACCAATCCCAATTTAATTTTCATGTAAATCCAATTTTTTTTTGAAAAGTTAAGTGTTTACCAAGTGTAAGGCCTTGTTCTAAGCACTTACATGTATTATCTTATTTAACTTCTATTTCCTTATCAAAGGGTACTATTTTTATTCCTGTAATACAGAGGAAAAACCCCTATGTGATAAAGTAACATGCTTAAGGTCACCCAACCAATAACTGATGGGGCTCCAAGTAGTCTAACAGGAGAGCCCACGCTCTACTATTTTTTAGAAAATATCTTTATTATTCACACACATAGAGCTTGCCATTCACACTCGACTTTTGTACACCACACATGCCAGAAGGATCAGAGTACTGATTCCCCAGTCTGTACTGGGGTTACTATTTTGCAACTGATTTAAGGCTCAGAATTCCTTCTATCCCTTCATCTCTCTCAATTCTGTTTCTTTTACTGGGCCTTAATCAAGTAGCAAAAACGCCACTGCAAGACACCAGTCCCCAGATTTAGGAGGGCATAGTTATTCTTTCTAGTACTCAAATATCAAGATACAAGCAAAGTACTCTTGCATCGCATAAATAATGTAACATTTAACACTCAGTTCTTTAACTGGTCTACTTTTACACAGCGGAGGAGTAGAGGCAAAGAAGGACTTACTTCCCTTGTTATTAAAGCTTGATCCTAAGATTTTATTCTCATATCTTAACACTACTAGCAGAGAACCAAAGAACTAGAGCAAATAGAACTTCTGGCTGTGTGAATCCGTAACAATTATCCCTGGAGCACTTAGCTGGCTCTGAGCAAAAAACTATTTGTAAGGCTCCCCAAGAATGATTCCCAGTTGTCTCAGCTCACTGAAATCCCAGGGAAAGAAAACGGCAGTTAATTATACACTAAATGCCTGTCCTCCATTTAAAAGTTAACTCCCTTTCGATGTTTCCTGGGCTCTGAGCATCCTTTAACTAAACTGGTGAGAGTTCATGTTTTTTACCTTTGTAACTGTTAGCTTTTTTTCCCCTAAGCTGCAAAACTGGTACAAAGGTTTCATTCAGAGGAATAAGCATCATCTAGATAAAGTTACACTAACATTACCTGAAAGGCTAGCATTAATGAGAGCAAATTAAAGTGCTATTGTTGTACTATGTTGGATAGCGAACGCCAACAGGTAAGAAACACTTAAGTATCAACTACACTGAGGTGAAAACTGAAGCTTCAATTAACCCTGGCAATTTCAGTGAACTCAGAGGGTGACCATCTGTGAGGCAAACAGCTCAGGCAACTTATACATCTTGTTTTCATCTTTCTTTGGATGATTATAATTTCAGGGTATAAGTAAGGTTATTAGCAAGAACAGAACAACAACAATAATTACAGTAAGTATTTACAGAGCACTTTGATTGCCCTGTGACGTCAGTCACGCTGCAGCTTCTAAATGGGAACCTCATGCTTAGTGTTGGCTCTCCATGACACCCTTACAGGTGGCATCCCATGTACTCACTCACACAGAGAGGCTGCTGGGACTCACAAGTTATTTATTTAAGGCAGTTCATGTAAACCCATCTCAAAAACTGCCTCAATTCAAAATATCTGAAGGGTATACTATTCTTATTACTCTGGAAGTTGTCTCTAAAAACATGCTGGACCACAATGAAATCTATTTTAACTCATCTACCTGGCATTTCACATGTGTGTATACTACAGTCACTTCTGGAGACACTGATCAGATTTGGTGGACTGATAAAGGATGAGTTATATACATACTCTATGCGTTATCAGTCCTTACAAATTCCATTTAAAAACTCACATGGATGAGATTAATGGAGTTCTGCCCTTAATGAGACTTCTGCTTTCCTAGTCATTGCAAAGGTCTCTATCCCTAAGTACACTAGAACTAGATGACAGAAGATGCTTGTACCTGAATGCAGGATTTACACAGTCATGTATGGACTAATGTATCAATAAGGTTGCCCTGGCACAAAATGAAATATTATAAAAAAAAATAATTCAAGTCATAATGGATGTTAGATATAAAAATCTGAAATACAACATTAGTGAATAAAAGTGTCCGAATTTGAATGTATTTCCATATTTTAAAAGAATGTGGGATTTAGGTAGGCAGAGGTTATAGCACTGTGTAAATTCTATTATAAAGAACCACAATTAGTTATAACTTGCAAAAAAGCAAGGGAAACTGCACCATGGACTGTCAGGTAAAATGTTTCCTGCCACACCACAGGAGGCACAATGCAGTTAGAAATGGGGCCAGAGAATGAAAAGTAAAATGCATGGGAATGGTATAATTTCTACATGAGAATACACAAGTTGCACGTTTCCAGAGAGCATTTAGAATTCCATAGGATTATAAAGTGGGGGCCAGAGTATGTTAGATTCCTCCTTAGATGCACCTGTGCTTTCTACTTAAAACAGTCAGATGCTGCTCCCATTGGGGTCACTCCTTTTCTCCTCTTGTCTTGAAGAGTCTTCTTGGCCTGGCCTTCCATCTGTCCTCAGGCCATTTATCCAATAGGAAACAAATCCCTGATTTCTTTGTGGCCTTGTGATTACTGGGAGCTTAACTGCAACATCTTGTTCTTATTCAAAGGGTTAGTCTTCCTAAAAATTTACCTCCCAGATACTCTTGCAGCTGGAGAAGATGTGTGACCATGTTCTGGTTGATAGAAGTCTGCTAATGGCTCAAGTCTTTGCTTAAAGGGAAAGGAGCAGGAGGATAGTACCAACTTGCTGGTACCAACTCACCCTGCCTCTTTCCTGAACTTAGATGTGATGCTGTGTACTACAAAGGAGGAAAAGGGCCTGGTTGTTGATGGCATCCCTGAACAGGCAAACCCACTGACAGTTACCACCTTCCTCTGGAATTCTTGCTAGGTGAGAAAAATAAATCCTTATATATTTCAGCCACTATTAGGTTTTCTGTTATTTTCATCCAAGAGGATGCTAACATACAATATCCATTATTGTTAAGTCCTGGGAATCCAAGGACAAATCCATTTGGCTCCTGCCCTCAAGAACCTTACCAGTGAATAGGAATGAGACGCAAACAGAGTCCTATACATGTATATTAGAGGTAGGTATAAGGTGGCATTAGAGCACAGAGGAATGAACTAGTCTATTGATAGTAGCTAGGAAGAGCTTCCCAGTGGGGGCAACATTTGTGCTGGGGCTAGAAGAATGAGTGGGGATATTTCAAGAAGATAAGGGTGAAAGTCAGGGCATCTCAGGCAGAGGGATAAATAAAGATGAAGAAGTGTGAAAGTGCATGGTATACACAGAGAATAAAAAATAATTTGGAAAAATATGCTAAGTAACTTTGAAAATAAGTAGAGTCTGTAAGGAACAGCAACAGGAACTGTAATTAGCACAGTACTCCCGTTGATAAAGGGTTAATGATTCTAAATCCGCTATAAAAATATATTGGAATTGAATAATTCAGACGTAGATAGTAGATGGTGGGATCCAGGTTTCTCACTGATAGTAGGAAGTCACATACAAGCAAAGGGAGAAGGCTAGAACCATCCATATGGTAATGGATTAGAACTGGAGTCATCAGTATGAACTTATGTTTAGTTGAATATAAATACATATATTATGTATAGAAATATTTGTAGATATATATATATACACAGGTTAGTGTAAATATATACACTATATATATATATATACACACACACATATATACATATATGTAAATAAAACCATATACCGTATTTGCCGGCGTATAAGACGATTTTTTGGCCCTGAAAAATATGCCTCCAAGTGGGGGGTCGTCTTATACGCCAGGTACACTTCAGATACACTGCCCATAGTGCTTGCCCCGTGCCATAGTGGCCTCCCGATGCCCGCCCACTTCATTCCACATACCGTTCAGGCATCAGCAGCGCTGCTGGGTGTATGCTCGGCTGTTATGCGATTTTGCTGTTATGCGATTTTACCACACTCACAAAATCGCACACAGCCGACCATACACCCAGTATGATAGCGCAAAATCGCGAATCGTGATACCATACTGGGTGTATGGTCGGCTGTGTGCGATTTTGCGAGTGTGGTAAATTCGGGTTACCGTATATTTCTTTACATATGCATTGAAGATTCGCGATTTTGCGCTATCATGGTGCCTGTTAGAATGTTGAAGAGCTCGCACTTGCGCACTAGTGAGGTCCCAGGGAGATGCTGATGCAAGGGTGGACCAGACTGCTATAGTGACAGGGCAGGCAAACAGGGAGCAGGGACCAATCAAATCAGGCTTTGTAT